TTGGTTACAGATAGGTAGACTTGGTAGCCTCATACACTACACACACATTTTGTGGAACCCCAGTCTGGAGGACGTGTTCAGAACCAAGGACAGCTCCCACCATGGAGAGTACTGTGTTGTTTGCCCACCTGTGGAAGGTGTAGACGTGACACAGCTGTCTATAGTAAAGTATAGCACACACATAGGGCCTACAGCACATATATTCCTTAAAAAGGACAAGTGTGGCGCGATTTTGTTTCTGCCAAAAAAATGCCATCAAAAGTCCAAAACCAGCAGATCCCACCAAGTACTGCTTGTGTATCCAAAGCCTGACATAGCTTATTTCTCTGAGCCATAGAGCTTCATTCATGTCCAAAAACTATCAAGGACATATAAATGAGCCACACTGGGTGACATCTTCATTAACAATTACTATATATAATATACATATAATCAATTATTCTACATATTTTCCTTATTTTTGTGTTAGTCTCACTCACACATCCTGATGCTGTAAATACTCATTAGAGTACCAAATGTGTATTAATCCACAGCTGAAAATAGTCCACAACAAAAGCAATATTCACGCCAGTGTGAGTAATGTTTGCTAAGAACTACAATACCTCGATGTTTTCAAAAACTTATTCGCTTTTAAAAAAAATGAAATTTTTAACAATTTACAATATAAAGGATTTCTTCCCAGTATTTCTTCAGTATGAATCAGTGGGCATGGGTCACAGACAGGGTGGGGGAGTTGGAAAGTATTGAGAGAATGACTAATGCATCGTTTTGGTCAGAAGAAAAAATACTGAATAGCACCATGCTTCTTAATAATTGTCCTAGACCCAGCAAATAAGGGCATTACAGCTTCCATCTTGGTCTCAGACTAATGGGAAAAGTAATGAATGTAAAATTACTGTGTCTAACTACTGTCTGGTGGCAACACAAGACTTGAATATGTGCTCTGTATGTCTTTATTATTTCTTTATTTGACAACTGTGGAATAGTTTTGATGTTTTGATTGGTTTTTATAGATATAAATGTTTACTTCACTTTTAACTTAGACTGCTTCTCATATTTTGATGAGTTTAATGGCTAATGTGTCCAATTAAAGACAAGATTAAATTAAGCAACTAAGTCTAAGAAAAAGGGAGTAACTGTGCAGTTTGTCTCATTCTGTTTGAGTTTTATCTGAAAAATGAATCTGTGCCCTGCAGAGCCAGGCCGTGATATAAAGGACAAGCTTGTTGCTTTTAACAGGTAAATGCTGATTTCCCTTCAGAAAGTCCTGCAGAGATACTTCTGATTTATTTTATAAAAGAGACTAGAGTTTCCATAGAAATGGCGAGAAACTGTATCCCTTCGAGCATGAAGACCTACACGTGGCACAAGGTGATTAGATGTGTTAGTTTAAGTGCAAATAGAGACGGAGAAAGTAGAATAGAAAATGTCATGAGATTTGTGTGAGATGCGTGTTGCAAAACTGTATTTCAAATACACATTAAACAGCAAGCTAGAGGGTGAAGACCACATCAGAGGTCCTTTTCACTCAGAAAGCAGAAAAAAACAACATGTCTGAGCAGCAGGAGTCATTTACACCTGGCCGATGCCTATTACCTTCTGCTTATGACCTCCTGATTGAAGCAAAGAAGAAAAAACCAGCGCTCTCAGTCTTGCAAGCTCAGGACTTCATGAGCCACACAATCGCACACAAAGACAAGCCCTGCTCTCCGGTCAATCCCAGTCACCTGCCCATCAGTTAGGACCTGTATTACCATGGCAACAGATGATCTGGACATGCTGCATCATGCAACTGCACTGTATTCTCTGATTTTCTTAAGCCATACCTGGTATAAGGGAAAAACCTGAAAGGGTAGAAAGGGTATCTAATAAAATGAGAAAGGTTGTATTGCTATGTGAATTGACCTTAAAGAAGAACTCCACTGATTTTACACATCAAAGTCTGCTCACAGCTCCCAGGCTGCACTGCTGCAAGGATGTATATGAAGCCTTTTCTGGCTTCAGAGGGACTGATGTGAAATCGCTTTGAAACTATTCATTTCAGTAACATGTTCTAACAACACCTTATGCAACAAAGTTTCTGTAAACTCACTTAAATAAAAACACAACACTGCTTCATCTATTTTCATTTTCTTGCATGAATGAGCCAGAGAAGTACACATATTATTATGATAAGAAACACACATTAATTGAACAATAAGCAGCGCTTTAATGTATGCTTCACTAAAGAGTGATCAAGATGAAATCATATCCAGTTAACCTGATTTAGCCTATGTAGATTTCCCATAAACCTGTATAGAATCAGCTCTGTTTCCTATTAGTGCTTGGCAGTAATTATCTGTAAATGAAAATCAATGAAAAATATATTCTAACAAGCTACATGGAATTAATATGATTACATTCTTGTCCGTCTTTGTCTGTGAATTTAACGCACTTTACAGTGAGATTTTTATAAATGAAATGCTGTATTTTAAGCCTAACAAGGCTCCAGTGCAGCTCTGTAATCCTGAGAACATGCTGAGGTTTAAATGAGATGAGACTACAATAAACAAGAGGGGGAAGAAAACAGAGCATCTCGCTGCAGCTTTGAAGTGGGAACCGGATCAAATCCCCGTACGAAGCAAATTGCCTTTCTTTCCCACCAACTAAAAGGGATCAAAACTGTCTTTCCTAAAAATAACGATTACTCCCCGTCTATCTGTGTCTCTGTGGATCCTCCATGGGAAGACAAACACCAAGGACCTTCATGTTTTCCTACTCAACAAAGCCTGGTCTCACAACTTCTCAAACAAACATACTATTTATGCCATTTGTGCAGTTGCATAAAAAGGGTAACTTTACATGTATGTATTCATAAACTATATCAAATTTGTTCGTGAGAGTGTGATCGTGGTGATTTGGTTCCTTGTGTAGACTGTGTTGCAAGATGTAAAATAAAAAATTGAAATATTAATATGGAAAAAAAAGAGCCATTTACTCTTCTAATTAACAGATTCTACAGTATGACTCAAGAAGGATCTTCATGAATTTGGGGAGGTTTATTTCACTTGTACCAAAACTGAACCGTTTAACAAGAAACCATGCAGGAGAGAACGGGAGCCTTGAGGATGATAATGAAATTATTCATGTCACACAGCTCTGTGCCACACTGCAATTAAATAATAAGTCAATATGAGAGAAGAGCCGACTAAGCACTAAACTTTATGAGTTTTGTACTTTCGTCTCCATTAGTAGCAAATGCAGCGGACAGAGATAGCTGATGAAGGTCTCTGCTTTGGTTAGATAGGCCTAAATGTACGTCAGAGCTACAGACACTCTGTTATAAGAGATGTTACATAAGTAAATAAATCAACCGCTCATCCACCCACAAACTCTTCCAACCCACACACACACAGCTATAGAATGGTTGGATACTTTAGTTAAACACACACACACACACAGTGGCAGCTCATGCGAGTTTGTCTCTCATGGGTATAAAGGATCTAATGTTGCACTTATGCTTTATGTAATAGTGTCAACTTTGGAACTTTAAAAAGCTTTTAAAAATAAGTAAATTTATCATGATGGGTGGAGAAACAAGTCAAAGTAAACTTGCATGTAGAGTTTGTATTGCGATAATAAAGATTGGTGGAGGAGCAAGTCCGTCAACTAAAAGAAACGAGGGAGATTGAGCAGTAAAATACATCCTTTCAGTGAGTGACTGGATCTGTGCACTCCGCATCATCTCTGTTAACACAGTAGATTAAGTTTGACTACACTCATCAACATAAACTACTGAGATTTCTGAAAGTCAAACAAAACAAAAAAAAAACCCAATAAGACTTAAACACAGGATACAACAAAACCACAGAGTACCGCACAGATTTTACACATCAGAGTCTGTCTATAGGTGTTGGGAAGGGCTACTGCGTATCTGAAAAAAAAGTTGCGTAAAGTCTTTTGTGGCTCCAGAGGGAAATGTGCAAAGTCTGATACATTGCCTCAAGTGATGTCACACAAGACTTGGTTGGATCTGAAAACAACAAGTTTGAAAATGAAAAAAAAAAAAAAAAATCTGGAGGTGTGAAGCTACAAAGATGTGAGCTTGCCAGACCTCTGTAGCCCACTCCTCATGTCTGCTTGAGGCTAGCGACATTAACTGCTATGAGCTCAGCACACCTGAATCTCTGACCGAACTGTTGGCGGATGAGTTGCATTGTGGGTACTGTGGGCCCCAGGTTTTGAGAATAAATTATATATTAAAAAAAAAAAGATGATACTTTGAAACCTTTTTAAAACACAAAAGCAGAGTTTTCGGCAGGACTCTCACATTAGATCACACTGCGTATATTGTAAAATATATCTGATAAGACACATGAAAAAATACATTAACTACTGTGCAATGGTGTTTGTGTGTCTGTGTATTCTTGCATGTATATGTGCCAGTGAGTGTAAGGGGATTTAACTTATTTCAAACTGACAATGAGTAAGAGGAAACAACTGGCTACCAGATGAAACGGCACAGATAAGGCCTGAACTGACCCTGCACTTGAGGTCACTATAGAGCTGGAAGGAGGCAACTTTCTCTTTTCCCTGCCTTAGTGGTCGCCTGTGTGACCGTCTGTCTGTGTGTCTGTCTGCCTGTCTGCCTGCGTCTCATGAACAGACAGACACACGTGAGTGTGATCATTAGAGAAGATGGACATAGTTTTTTTTTTCCTGCTGCCCATGTGGAACCACAAAACTGGCACATGAGAGACACTGTGATCACCCAGGGAGCCAAAAAAACTAAAGCATGTCAAACTAATTTAAGAAATCAATATCCTATCTTGTGAAATTTCTAACACAGGAAATACTTTACAATACTTATTAGCTCTGCGAGAATAAAAAGACACGGAAGAGCCCTTTAAAGAAAAAAAATCCCACTAGTACTTACCCAGCCCGGGGGGCGCGGGAGGAGGGGGGGGGGGGGGGGTGTTCCTGTGTTTGAGCATGTTTGTTGAGCATTGATTTAAACTCACCCTAAAGTCAATGCCCACAGTGGAGATGAAGCTGCCAGCCAGGAAGGCGCCGTCTTTAAAACGGACCAGTAGACAGGTTTTCCCCACACCGGAGTCTCCAACCAGCATCACCTGTTCAGAAAACCAAGAGGGAGAAATCAGAGGTGTAAGGGTTAAATCTTCAGCCTGACTGACTGGTCGATGAGGGTAGGTGTGAAATAATTAGCAGAGAGAAAATAAATAAATAAAAGAAAGCGCATGTAGGAGCATGAAGAAGAGGTAGCTGATGTTCATGTGTTTAATTTTATATCAGTGTCTGATTGTTTGTCCTCAGAACATTTGAATCACTCAGCTAAATCAGTCCCGGTATTCTGGTTCTTGGCCAGTGAAGAGGGTGTATGTGAATGAGTGTGTGACTGCTCATTATGGCCACCGGTGGATGTCCGTAGATCCTGTCCATATGTGTGTGTCTGTGTTTGCACATCCGTGCATGTGTGTGTACAGACACACTTGTTTTGTTTCATTCCTGCTGATCAGACAGTCAGCGTATTTCTCTTGCACATGATGTGATCACCGTTATCAGGTTAGCTGAGGGACTGTGGGCCCTACACCATGGAAATCAAAAGTGCCTCTTGGGAGCAGAGAGGAAGAAGCAGAGGGGAGATGAAAGACAGAGGAGGCAGAATGAAGCGATGTATAGTAGCAGGTACAAAATTGTGGCAACGGGTAATACGTCTGCAGATCTCACCCTCTGTTTCTCTCTGCTCCCTATTTCTATATCTGTTATTCTTCCTTTGTCTTGTCGTCTCTCATGCCCTCCCCTTTACACAGCTCTGCATGATCTCAATGTTTGCAGCAGCGTGCAGGAGCAGGCACCTGGCCTTTCCCTGCCCTGAGGTTTTTCTAAATAAAATGCAATCAATTTCCTCAAATCAACAATAATGATATTACAGAGAAAACAGTATAAGATGAAATATGGCGCAATGGGCTACACATGACATGCACTACACTACACAAACAGGGATACAATACAGGTCAAATTCTGTGAAGCTGCAAAAAAAAAAAAAAAGTCTTCTGAGAGCTACAGTGGGATTTTGATCTGGGCTTGCAAGCAATTTAAATGAATTATTATTGAAATTTTGACTCAAACTGTTTGATACTTGTCAGATTGCTTAATTAAACATAAGAACAGGAGGTGCATGATAAATATTTAAGGAAAGAAAGGTCAGCGTAGACAGTGTATGGGTTGCTGAGCCCAAATGGAAACTGGAGACTGTGACTTTCTGTCTTGCAATTGTTAATGTATTGGCAGTGAGGATGGTGTGTGCTGCAGAAATGGCAGTCCTTGCATCCAAAAACAAATAATTAAACAAGAATATGTACTGCTCACAGAGTGAAGTGGCATGGACAGAACAATCAGTTCAATTGTTGTGCAAAAAAGAAAGAGCAACACAAAGCCATGAGTGCACTTGCATCAAACAGCTGCTTTAAAAAAACAACAACAAAAAAACATGGAGTAGGTGGCACGAGTCCCTTGAAGCTATGCTGGGAGTACACACAACTGAAGGATCTGTGGGCGTGAATCTGTGTTTGTGTTGTGGTGAAGTGACAGTTCTCGACTCACACAAGTGCTCACACTGTGGCTCGGCAAAGCACACTAACACACTTACTCAGTGTAAACGCAGAACCCACTGACCTGTGCCGCTGACACAAACACGCTTTCAACCAGTTGCACGGGCGCGAGCAAATGATTTGTTTGTTGGCTTGTCGCAGGGCGGCGTGCACCTTTCCAGGTTATCGATCGACCCTATTGACACAGCTGGTGTCTGGGGGCTTTGCTGTTGTTTAATGAATAAAGGTGGTTGTAAAGCGGAAGAGCAGTGGAAGGGAACGAAGTGGACCACAAACAGGTTCACTGTGTGTGTTTTGTCACCTCTACCTACTCGTCCCGCTGGGAAACAAAAGCCAAAGTGTCCATGTGATATCATCAGTCAGATTATTTACACTGTGGTTAGTTTATAGTGACCTCTATGCCCCCGTTCACTAGTTTGTACCGCACCCTTCGTGATATGTTTCCGTCTGCAATGGTCAAATAAAGCCCACCTGTACCTGAGTTGCAGTTCGTTCTCGTCTTACCTTGAATGCGATGTCATAAAACTCGCTGCTGTTGCTGATGGACGGTCTGCTGGGGTGAACCACGCCGTTCATCTGAACAATGCCCGGGCTGCTCCTCGCAGCTTTCCCGGTCCCTTTCCCGGTGGGGCTGCCTGCAGACGGGCTGCTGGTTGCGGCTTTGCCTTTGGCAGCCTTCTTACGAGACATTTCTCAAGATTTCCAAACTATCTCTTGTGAATCTCAGCTGGGGCAAACCGCAAAAAGACACACATACACACACACACACACACAAAAGAAATCACCAAAACCTGTGCGAGATAGGACTGAAAAGTTGCAGCAGCGACGAAGTTAAATTGGTAAATGTTATCACCTGCGCGTTGGACGCATGTTCCTCGACACCTCTCTGCTCAAAGTAGCCTACAAGAGAAATTGTCCCGAAATGCAAAACGCTGTTGCTTCCGCTGTGGTGAAGCCGCTTCCTGCTCCTGTCGGCTCGCTCCTGTCAGGACAACAGCCTCAGCTCTGAGCGATGTAGCGGCAGCAGTTGGTTGGATGTGATGTGGCAGAAAACTCCACCTTGAGCGCAAAAACAATCCGGACACACTTTGCGCTGCGCAAAACTCGTAGGCGCCTTTTAAGAACAGACTCAGCCTTTGTGTTCACATTATAAACTTACTGTAGTCCTCAAAGTCTGGTGTTAACGGGTTTACTGAGGGAACTTTAAGTGGCGAAACATAAGCAGCACCACGTGACCTCACGTTATCTGTTGACAATTAGCCAGCTGTATATGACCTGCATAGGCTACTGTAGTCGGACTGTCCCTGATAACTCTGAGGGCGGTGGAGGCCACAGGACGCTCTCCGTGGTGCTGAAAATTTGCTGCATCTTAACAAACACTGTTATGGTCAAATTATTGCCTTTAGAACTTAAGCTTTCTACTTAATTAAATCCTCACGGAGGCTTTACACGATTATGTCATACCTACTACTGTTCCACCCTCTCAGGATATTTTGACATTTTATTCCATGGATATTTTTTTTTGCAATAATTAGGCTAATGGGTGTAGACAGTGTGTTCCAAACCTTCAAAATAAGATGCTTATATTGCATAGCAAAAATTATGTATTTAGAGGGAGCTGTGAGGCACTTATACTTTCTGTTGTATGGCAATCTTTTGTGGTATGAATATTTTATGTTATTGTTATTTTTGTGCACACTCATGATGATACGACCTATATACAGTATAAATATATAAATTTAATTGTATTAATTAATTTATTAACACATTTTAGGAGAACACGGTAAACTTCGATTATTATATGAATAATATGTGTTGTCCATTGATTTAACCGAACGAGAAGGCAAGAAATTACCTAATTGGCTCATTTGGTTAGTGTAAGCGACATTAAGACATATTAGCTCATAATCTGGTTCTGTGAGACAGAACTTTACTCATATAATGTGGGGAAACATAGCTAAAGTGCAGGTGATAACTCATGGCCACCTGTGGAACGTACATGAGATGTGATTTCAAGTTTGCACCACAAGAGGGCGATATAGGAATATAAAACAGAAAGTCAGATAAAAAGGTTCGTCTCTGTACTTGCTGCTGCATTGAGTGTATGTTTTATTATACAATTTGTGAATTAGGAATATGGCTTGATTATATTACTGTTTAAGATGAGGGAAGGTTTCTGTAGTGTACTGTAGCCCTGAAAGAAAGTGCAACAACAACAATAACAAAAGTGCACACCAAGTTATTTTAGAGGCATGTCACAGAATTTTAATTAAAGTGATACACACATACAGTATGTCTTTGTTATTAATGGTAGGCAACTGTATAGGCTAGTTGCTTTTTTAAGCTCCCTCCATCCTCCAGGAACAAGCTGGTTGTAATCAGAACAAACCAGTCAAGGAGCTGGTCACTGGCCTTTCTGTGACACTTACCCACACCAGCAATAATTCATAACACAACTCAAACATCTCTCTATAACATGGGACAATATGCGGGGTCCGCATATTGTCTGCATTTGCAACAAAGAACAGCAGCATATTCTGATTAGTCCCTGCTCCTCTGTGGCTAGTAATGGGATGCTGTTGTTTTTTTCCCCCCTCTGTAATCTAGTTTGTTATGCAATATGAAATTTGTGTATGATACAACTGCCTTTGTGTTCATGTGCCAGGCTGTCCAGGCTCATTAGAATATGCTCAAAGATCATAGCCCAGAGACCTCATTTGCTTCCCTGAACAGGAGACTGAAATGAGCTTGCATTACCTCTGACCCTTACAATATGTAGCATTAATAACACAAGACTAAACTCTCAAGGAGGCTGCTCAATGTATACAATGTTAGCAGATTACTAATCAATGCACAACAGAAACAGAAACAACAGAGCAATTAACAGGTTGTGAGTCATGTGTGAGTCATGTGTGTGCAGTGGATTAACAGCAACGTCATGTTTGCCTCTTACTGGATTTGGCAAGGGCTTAGACATAATTTTTCAATGGACCCCTAAATGGTAAATATTCTGGTAAACGTTTGATGTAAAAATTAAATTTTAGTATAATCTAACATTAAAGTACCAAACATATGTTATTCCTCTCTTTATTTTCCAACAGCCAAATTTGAGGTTATATTACATAGACTTCTTGGGGACATCTCATAGCTGACCCCGGTTCAGAGGTACTGAGACGTTTGGTTGCAAGTTTGGTTTCTGTCCCGAAATCTGCTGTCGGTCAGCATTTTTCTACACTCCACCCAACTCCTAGAGAAGTGTAGAGTAGGAAGTGGCGCGTCATTGGTTTGAGGGAATACAAGCCCCAAAATCCACCAACCCCCGCACACAACTCCGCTCGACAGCTGAGATTCGTTCTGGCCCTAAAGCAGCTGTCTACTGTGGCAACAGCTGGGCATTTTGGAGGGAATAGGCAACATGGATAGAGAGGGTCGTTGGAATCCGTCCCTGCTTTTAGATAAATTAACAGCCTTGTCAAGATGCGTTAAACATGCCCAGTGAGCGTACTGTACATCGTGAGGCTATAAGGTGGAGTTGTGTTCCATATGCTTTTATGTGTTTGTGGGTGTCTGTGCCACATACACATGGCAGAACTAGCATAAAAATATCTGTATGAACACCAACGGTTTAGGCCCTTGAGAGAAATTTAATCAAGCAATGTTCTTTTTCTTTGCTAAAAACTAACAAGGCAAACTCTCTTTCCTGTGTCATGTACTGTAAAGCAGCTGTGTGATTCAGCTGTCAAGAATGCATCAAATCACATCATTTCACCATGTTAATTAGGAGCAAATTACGACACTCTTTCCTGGGTGCGAGCATCCTCAGAGCTGTGCCATTTCCGTGACAATAAGTCAAACAGCCTGAAAAGTGTGGGTAAGTGCACGAGCAATGTACTTGGTCAGGTGCTTAAAAAAACATTGTGATTGGGTACATAAGGCAGAGAGAGGGTGGTTATAAGGGCATGCATGTTTGTGTGTGTTTCCAGTGCTGTAAGGTCATAACACCCTTAAGGTCACATCACTCTGCAGGCGCGCCCAAAGGCCAGGCATTTGTCAGTTTACCCAGGGTCAGGTGCCCCTGAACGTGGACTGGGTGGCGTGCAGCAGCCTGGCCAGTCGCTCAACCAAAGTCACAGCAACTGTTGATCTGTTGGCCGCTCTTCCTCTCAGCTGCCTGCAGCCTGAGTGCTGTGAGAAGGGGCGGGTGGGGGTGGGGGTAGGGCTGGGGGGTAGGGAGGGGGGCGTCCTGCCAGCCGACACCCCTGTTTGTCAGGCCTTGGCGAGAGCAGCCATCAGTGGACTGGCGCTGCCTGGCACTTATTCGCTCCCTGAGGCATCTTAAATGAGAGAAACAGAGAGTGTGTGTGTGTGTGTGTGTGTGTGTGTGTGTGTGTGTGTGTGTATGTGTGTATATGTGTGTGAGAGAGAGAGGGAGAGAGAGGGAGAGAGAGGAGAATGGGTGGCATGGGTGCTGCTTGTTTATAGTGTACTAAATATGATTTGTATGCAGTTATATAGGACATGTCTTAATGAATAAGAAATCTTAGAGTGTACACCTTTACAATATAACTGGCACTGTGTTTATCATGAGCTGAAAATACTTATCCTTTATGGAGGGTAGTTATTCAGTTTGAGGTATCCCTTACTTTGACTTTAGGTCTATAATCCTGATTATTAAAAAATCCTATACTTTTAACTCCACACTCAACATATTAATAAATTACATGTAAATTATTCTAAAATATTACATTAGACATCATTGGACCATTAAATTACTTTAACCACTGAATACTTTTATTGCAATACAACAATTCCTAACCTTTTTGTCTCATGACCCCTTAAAATAAAGCATTGGGTGTACAACCTCTTGTTATTTATTTACTTATTTATTTAGATCCTCATTAGTTTTTACCAACCTAACAGCTACTCGTCCAGGGGCCCGTAGGAAAAAAAAATGACTACACCAATTTTGTGCTATTATGCAAAGTAAAAAGTAACTGAAAATAATATTACATGCATACGTAAATGCATGTATTTACATATGAAACAGCTCATAAAGTAATGTAATAAGCATAACTGTGGCAAATGCCTATTACTACCCATTTCAGAGGCTTTACGAGGTAAAACAATCCCAAATTTTACAAGAGCAAAGCAAAATTGAGAGAAAAGGCTGAAAAATAATATAAAGTTGTGTAGCAGAATTACATAATAAACATTCCTTTACCCTTTTAGCTTTATCTTGTGACATGTTGGAGAGGTCCTGATGGGTATGACTGTGGCAGTACATAAATAAATAAAAAATCCAATCACTAAATTGAGAGGACATATTAGCTTAGAGAACATGTAATTTCTTATATGTTACCGATATGAAGTTCTTTTATTTCAGTTGGATTTTTAATGCAGTTTTATTGCTGCTGCTGTAAATGCACAAACAAACAGTAACCTGAGTTTAAAATTGAATTTGATGTAATGATTTGTTAACTTTTCTCTACTTCTAAATTTCACTCTGACAAAATGTGATTTCTCACAATAAAGTTTTAACATGTCCATGCAAAAGCTTAATACGAAAACAAGTTCAAGGGAAAATGGAAAGAAATGAGCCTTTGCGAAAACAATGTGTTCTGGTGGATTGAAATTGCCTTGGCGTGATTACTTTGCTCAATCTTGCCATATTTTAATGTGCTAAACCAGTGAAGCCAAGCCCTGACTTCAAATCTGTCATCATACACAATTTTTAATTCTCTTTCCTCTGCATCGTAAAAAAGGTGACACCATTATTACCTTTCCAAAGACGTCATCACTGCATCTCAGTGTCACACTTGCAATTTCCACCTCTGTTTTAACACTGTTTTCCCAGTCACTGCAGTAATTTTTTTTTT